GCTCAGCACAGCTGGGAGCACCAAACCCAGGGCTGGGGAGCACGGAGGAGACTCAGCTTGCTGTAAACAGGGGAAAAGGGGAAGAGTTCAGGGGTTTGAATGCTTAGAGCTGTGCACCAGCACAGGAGTGGGACTGTCCATTTGGGGACTGTCCCTTTGGAGACTGTCCACTTGGAACTGTCTTTTTGGCACTGTCCATTTGGGGATTGCCCTTTTGGGGACTGTCTCTTTGGGGACTGTCCATTTGGGGACTGTCCTTTTGGCACTGTCCAGGTAGGGACTGTCCTTTTGGGGACTGTCCCTTTGGGACTATCCCTTTGGGGGCTGTTTGGGACTGTTCCTTTGGGACTGTCCTTTCAGGGACTGTCCATTTGGGACTGTCTCTTTGGGACTCTAATTTTGGGGACTGTCCATTTGGGGACTGTCCTTTCAGGGACTGTCCCTTTGGGGATGGTTCATTAGGGATTGTCTCTTTGGGGACTGTCCTTTCAGGTACCGTCCATTTGGGGACTGTCCCTTTGGGGCTGTCCATTTGGGACTATCCATCAGGGACTATTCCTTTGGAGGCTGTTCCTTTGGGACTGTTCCTTTGGGGACTGTTCCTTCAGGACTGTCCCTGATCAGGCTGTGCCAGGACACAGGGGACAGAGCAAGGAACTGGTCAGGCTGTGCCAGGACACACATTACTCAGCTGCACCAGTGTGAATGCAGAGCAAATCGTTTGGGCGTGGCTGCTTTTGGGAGAAAGGCTGAGATTAAGACGTGACATAAATTTAATTTTTTAAGTTTTGCCATGAGAAAAGACTCAAACAGTGTTTTTCTCATACTACTAAAAGATGTTTACATCTTTTAGTATCTTAAGCAATCCTGGAAGCAAATTATTCTATAATTAAAAAAAGCTAATACTAACAAAAAAAAAGTTCATCTGGTAAGCATGGTAAGGAGTTCATCAAGATGAGGTAACTTTTCCAGTCCAGGATTTTATTCTGTCCTACCTATGGAGCTTTTGATTTCCATTTGACTATTTTAGATGAGCTTTCTTGCCTCAGGGTTTTAATAAAATCAACTTCTGCGCTTAAAACCTGGCAGAGTTGGCTTTTTCAGAATAGAAATAAAGTTCCTTCATCAGGACACAAGTTTTCTTGAATTAATACCTGCAAAGGTGAGTTTTCCAGAGAAAAAGGATCAAATCATCATTTAATTGCACATGGATATTCTTGGATGGCCTGGGATAATTTTGTCAGCCAGAAGGAAAAATAAAGCCTCACTTTTTCCCACTTGATTTTGGTTAGTTCTGGCCTGAACAGGGCTCAGGTGCAGTGACAAAGCACTCTGGTGACACGAGCAAGCACCTCCATGTTCAGTTTGTATAAATTGCCACACTCTGCTTTAACTACTTCATCTTCTGTAGCCTGAATTTTTAGGTGCAATTGGATTTATAGCACCTAACCAGGTGACAGTAAACAGCAGAGAAATCCTTTGGGATTAAGTGAATTCAGCAGAAGTTCACACCTCCTGCTTTTATCACATGTAACTTTCTGCCAGAAGCTACAGAAAGACAAAGTCAATTTAAAAAGCAAACAGCAGCCCAGCTTTAAGCCCAGGTAGCTGGAGAAAATCAGAATTCCTGCATTTACACCACCCAGCTGGCTTCATCTCCCTGCTCAGCTCCTGGCTCTGCCTCCACTTGGAGTATACAAAGATCTGAGTTTGGTGGGTCTGGTATTTTTAATTTTTTTGCTCAGGTTTAGAAGCTCCCAAGAGATTCAGATTTTCTCACCTCACTGCATTTGGATTATTACTTAGCTATACTGAGAATAAGTTATTTTAATATCTTTTTAGAAAAAAAAAAAGCCAACAATTTTTTCATCTATCACTGCATACCTAATAAGCAGTTTTTAAAACCCTGGGGAATTTAAAGCAAATTTATTTACCCTCATTGAAGGAAACGACATTAAACTTACCATGGAAAAGTGTTGCAATTCTCTTTTGCTATACACACAGTAGCAAATTGAAAACACTTAAGCAGGAATTACACCATGCTTTTGCTGTAGATTTTGGATTTTTCCCTATACTGCAAAGTTCTCTATGCAAATATATTTTCCCCTAGAAGCTTTTTGAAATATGCTGCTACACTGCTCCTAATTTTGTCAAAGCTGTTAAGGAGATGTGTGTGCACAGGTCATTAATTGTTATTAATGTCAAGTGGATCCTGAAATCCATTAAGTGGGTTTGAAAAATCAGAGCTTATTCTGTACCTGATCAACTCTGTGAGGGCATTTGCAAATAAATCCACCAAATCACACCGAGGGAGAGACTTTTCCTCAGCTGTGTGCCCTGGACCTCAGCTCCAAGTTTTTGCTGCTAAGGAAGGTGTGAATCAGCAGGATCCAGCTGCTGTCTCTGCTCCTCATGGGTGTTCATCTCCCTGCAAACTGGCAAAGTCTGCTCAGGAGTCAGAGCTCACCGACAGATGTGAAGAAGAAGGTTTTATTCCTCTGTTGCTTTGCCATTTGATGATATTCGAGACTTTTGGTAAGGTTAATCAAGTAAATATATTTTATTGAGGGGGAAAGAGACAAACAAAATGATGTGTCAGATGTCAGGAGGCTGTTCTAGGAGCATAAAACATCATCTTATCCTTCCATCCAAACAGAATATGCTTGACCTCCATTTTGCTCAATAATCCCTAATATTTTACTGCTTAGGTTACTGGTGTCTGAACAAAGGCACTTTTATCCTGCTCTGGCCTTGCCTGGTTCCAGAAAAGGTGGGGAGAAAGGCAGGATTCACTTGGATGCATGACCAGGCTGTGGCAGTGCCCTCACCTCGGATTCCCTTTGAGGTGACACTCAGGGATGTCCTGCTGCTGCGCTGATTGCCAACACTCACACTCATGGCTGCCTTATCAATCGTGGGCTCAGGCTTCCCATGATAAACTGGATCAACTGTGTGCCCATCACCCTGAATTACCCACCTTTGACAATGGAATGGATTTTTTGCCAGCTTCAAAGGTGCCTGTGAAATATAAAGGAGTGCCCACACACTCAGCCTGTTTGGGGGATACAGTTTCTCCAGCCACTGGAATTTGCAGGGGTTGGAGCACTGCCTGCATAAAACATCCATTTGTCATGGGTCAGGAGCAAGGCAACTTTTCCCAGTGACAAATATTTTGGTGCATTAAAACCAAAAAATTGCTTTGTGACATTAAATTTACTCTTAGTTTTGTTTCAGTTCTGTTTTGTTTTGTTTTTTAATTTTACTAACATTTAACAGTCAAAGCAGAGCTGTTAGGTCACGGTTTGACCCTGCAGTAAATCTAACTGTAATTTCAGCAATGATGCAAAGGACTGGTCTGATGTAAACTCACTCTTCCAACCCCAATTTACTTTTAAAATCATAAAATGTGAATATTCTGTAAGCAAGTTTTATGCTGTATTAGGTATCACTTCTCCATCACTCCAGCTCTGTGGTGTATCAGTACTCAGTTGCTTCATGTGCTGGTTATTTGAACAAAAATATACAAAAATATAATTGGGAACCTACACCTGCTCCAGATGAAAGCGGGATTCCTTCCTCTCTCCATTCCTAAGAATTTTGGCATCTTCCTTTCCTGGTCACAGGCTGTGGCAAGTAAAAGTGATGAGAAATATGCCCTGTACCTGTTCCTTCCCTCTTCTCTTGCCTGGACACTGTGGCTGCCTTTGAGTTCTCAAATCTGCTGGGGGAAATTTAAAGCGTGAATGTATAAAACCTCTTCATTTACATTAGAAGTTGGGCTTGTATTGTTGAGTAGAGACTCAACAGTTTCCACGACCTTTAAATGCAACACCCCCCTCAACTTGACAGTACTATTTTTATAAAGAACCACCAAAAGGAGAAACAAAGGTGTCTCGTGGGCTTCCTGAAATGGTGTAAATGCTCAGGAATAGGTTTTTTCTCTATGCATTGGATATTATGAAGATGACTTCCTTGCAAGACCTTCTCAAGGTATGACTTTTTGAGCATTAAAATTGGATCTTTCAAACCTCAGCTGCCCTTGATAATTTCAGCCATGAGGAGGAAAAACTACAGAAGTGCTTGACCATACATAACATGGGAAATCTGGCATTCAATTAATTAAAGCTCACGTCAGAAAACAGGAATATGTTAGTTTTCATAGGGCTGTACGTAGTACACAACACCAGGTGAGAGGGGAAACCCTGCCATAGTTAGAGGAGAAGGAACGTCCATGGTTGGATGTGAAGGAATGCCAAAGCTTGGAGAGAAAGCAATGGCTGTGTACAGAGGGGAAGGAATGCCAATGGTTAGAGATGGAGGAATGCCAATGGTTAAGAGGCAGAGGAATGTCCGTGGTTAGAGGTGGAAGAATGTCCATGGTTCGAGGTGGAGGAATGTCCATGTACAGAGGGAAAGGAATGTCCATGGTTAGAACGAAGAGTAGGGTGAACATCCGCACCGACAAACGCCAGTACTGCCAGTATTTATTTGGGTTTTTTTCGCACTGCTGGCCACCATCGACCGGGCACCGAGTCCCCTCTGCCCAGCGCGCACACACACCTGAGGCGACATGAAACAGCCCCACACTCAGGGGACTGCGGGGACACGGACCCTCCGGCTGCGCCGCACCACCGGCGGGCACCTCTGATCCCTGTGCTCTCCACATTGCCTGGGGGCTGTGAGCTGAGGAGCAGCCATAGACAGCCACAGCATCCCCGCCCCGCCCCACCCAGCCCCACCCTCAGCCCTTGCCCGCACCAAAATGGCGGCGGCCCCTGAGGGCCGGGGCCGCGCGCGCTGGGCGGGGCTGCCCTCCCGGGCCGCGCCTGCGCGGGGCCGCGCGCGCCTCCACTTCCGGCTGCCGGCGGCCGCTTCCGGCCCCCCGTTCCTTGGTAACAATGGAGCAGAAAATGGCCGCCTGAGCGGGCAGGAGGCGGCGCGGCGGCGGAGCGGCACGGGCGGAGCGCGGACAGCCGGCACCCAGCCCCGAGCGGCGCGGGCAGCGGCGCACCCACAGCCCGAGGGGCGGCGGCGGGCGGCGGCGGCGGGCGGTGAGCACCGGGGCGGGGGCGGGCTCTCAAAATGGCCCGGGGAAGGGAGAGGCCCAGGCCCGGGGGAGGCGGCGGCGGCGGCCTCCGCCCGGAGCGGGAGGCGGGAGCGGGGCCCCTCAGCCCCCGCTCGGGGCCGGCTCGGCGGGGCGCGGGAGGCTCCATCGGCGGTGCCGTGAGGGAGCGGGGGGCGGTGATGGCGGTCCGGGCGCGGGTGTGCCCGGATGGGCCGCGCTCCGTCACCCCGGGCACTGCCCCGGCCGGGCCGCCCTGATCTCCACCGGGGCCCGGAGCTGAGTGTGCGCTGCCCCCGGGGAGCCCAGGCGGGCCCGGCACCGTCCGGCTGACCGCAGGAATTGGAGGAGGCTCCTTTTGGGAGGGTGGGGGCGGGGGTGGCTGTAGCCCTGTCCTGGGCCCCGTCCGCAGTTCAGGGTCCGCTGCAGGAGCCGCAGCTCCTCATGGCCGTGGTTCAGACCGGGATTTGGGGCAAGAAGCCTTGTTGTGGAACACAGGCCAGAAGAACTCTTCCTCTCCTGCTGTGCAGAGCTCTGGATCAGCCTGTCACCTGTTCAGACCTGTGGTGTTTGCTATTCCTGTGCTGGGTTTCTCCCCAGTTCAGCACGTCATCTTTGCTCTGTCACCTTAGCTTCCTGTGCAAGCTTTTCCCTGCTCCTTTTAATGGTGTTTGTTGGCATTTAAGGTTTCTGTTTCTCTGTTTCAAAACCCTTATCAAGTCCAGCTGCACATATGTGTTTATCTGGAGTGGTCTGCTTTAATTGAGGAGCAGTATCAGGGTGTGTATAATACTGTGTGTATATATATATATATATATATATATATATATGTATATAACTTAGTGATGATCAAGGTTTGTTTATAAAATGTATTATGTGTCTTGGTTTTAGTGTGTACTAAAAGTCTGACAAAAGGTTTCACAGCAAAAAAACTTGAATTCTAAAAATAATAATAGTAATATATTGCTCTTTCTCAGGAAGGTGGAGCCTTGATACAGAGAAGCTCTTAAACAAGAATACAAACTTGACAATACCCAATAGTAGCATCACACACCACTTTTATTTTCCTCTCCATGTTGGCAGTATTGGGTAATTTCAGCTTGGAAATACTTGTCAAATGTTCAGAAGAACTTCTGACACTAATTTGTCCCTGAGTTTTAATTGCAGTGACTTGTCAAGTCTTTCTAAAGCAAATAAACAGTTGGCTGCTTCTTGGGCAGTTAATGATGTTAATTGAGGGTCAGATATTTAGTTTTGTTGTAGTGGTCACTTAGCACTTAAACTGACTCTGTTCCCTCTGCAGGTTTACCATTTTGGAATTAAAATAATGATAGCTTGGAATGATGTCTTGGGAAGGGAAAACACACCACACATTATAAAATTAAGGGTTTCTTGTTATGTTAGACCACTAAGGCACAGCAACTGCAGAGTTCCCTTCATCAGCAACTCCTTGGGTAAATGTTTCTCACTGAAATAACCACACACCAGTAGTTTTCATGCTGTAGTGGTTGCCATCTGTATCATATTTATTTTCCATATTACTGGATGAATTCCTGGACAAGAGTGTTGCAAGTGTCTGCTCTCCAGTATGTGTAGCTGAGTTTTTTTAGAGGAATGGATGACATGATCCTTAGATTGAAATGTTTTCAAAACACCTCTACATCAATACACCTGCCTTGCTTGTTCCTTTATTCCTCTTCCCTGTGGGAATGTATCAAAATTAATCCCTTGATCTTGGCAGAATCATTCCAGGTGCAGTGGAGGTGTTGTGCATTTCTTCAACAGTCATAGCATAATATAAAATAATGTTTTAACTCCATATACTTGAGTCTAAAGATTTTTAAGTCCAGCCTAATGTAGCTTAACACATTACTGGAGTGTCCTGAATTCTTTTTTGTGTAGAGAAATTCAGTTTCCATGTGTTAAAGTACTTGAATCCAGACATGATTAGTGGGTGTTTATCCAAGGTTTTGTGGTTTCATCTCAGTCTTGGTGAAAACTTATCAGCTGCTGAGCTTGCAAAAATTATTAGTGAAGGGATAAAACCAAATGTGAACATTTCCTTCTTCAAGATACTTTTATGAGAGTCTTGTGCTTCTCAAAAGCAAAACTTCTAAAGAGTGTAGCAGTGTCATAAGTTAGTCAGGAGCTTTGTGTGCTGAGTGGGGATAGCCAGGAGCATCCCAGGGGCTGGATTTGCCTTTGCACAGGTTCTGGCTGCAGGTAAGATCATAAACAGCAGCCTGTGTCTCCTTCAGACTGCTCAGGTTTGGATATACGAGGTGTTTGGTGGGAGCTTGTGGCTGCTGTGCAGTGTTGGGGCTCAGCTTTGGCTCAGGGAGGTCTGCAGGGTTGGATGGTCCTGTAAAACCACCTGATGGTCATGGAACAGAGGAAAAACCAGCACGTATTTTATCTTAGTTCAGTATTTAAAATCATCTTGTGCTCAGAGCACTCTGGGTTTTGATGTGCAAGGTGTCTGTGCACATAGTCCTGTTAGAATGCTGGGGCTGCCCTGCCTTGGGGTGGCATCAGAAATGCAATTCTCATGGTGCAGATGCCCGTTGCAATTCAGATAAATTTGCCTTCATTTTCTTTCCCACTTCTGTATTTGTGGGGCTGCGGGTACCGGCGGGAGCAGGAACGCACGCATCGGAATTCCTCTGTGGCTTGTGGCTGCACTGATTCTCTGCTTGTTGCTCTTTCACTGCTGGCAGGGCCTGCATTAGCAGCACTAGTGTGGAGACAGCAACATTCTGCAGTGAATTTAAAGATGGCTTTTTCTTTTTTAGTTTAAAGTCAGTGAGTGTTGATTGGCTTGGTGTTTTCGCTAACCACAGCTTGTGTTTCTTCAGGAATCAAAACTCTGCTTGTCCTTGGATATCAATCCTGTCTCTCAGGGTCAGTGCTGGTTACTTGTGTGCAGCTTTACTTCTTTTGAGTTCTGAGTGGACCTTCTGCTGCTGACCCAGCAGGAAGCTCGTTTCTGGGCAAAAAGAGCATCATTTCATGAGCTGCAGTGCTGGAAACGTGCTGCACCTCATAGACACCAAGCTTTCTCTTCTCTGCTATCTGAATTTGATGGCAGAGGCAGTGTTATCTTAATTTTATTTTCCACTTGTATGTGAGAAGTGTTGTTTTAGTAAGTGCAGATGATAAAAGGCAAAGCCCAGCATTTTGGCAGTTGTTACTGCATTTTATTTTCAGAGCTCCATCTTGGTTCCACATGCTCTCAGTGTTCTGGAATTGCTAAGCTCTGCCCTGATTTCCTCACTTCTTTCTGACTTATCAGGAGCTGTGAGTGTTTCTCTTCTTTATCTCAGCAGTTGGTTCAGCTGAAGTGTTTTTGCTCTCTGGTCTGTTGGGTGTTTTTTTACTCTGTGGAACTTTCTGCCACTGTTGTGCAAAAGTATTCATTTGCTTTGTGTTGTTTGAAATGTATGTTCAGAATGACATCTTGTTTGAGGGCCTTTGCTTTGAAACACACTGGGGTAGTGAAAAAGCTGAATCAATGTTTAACACTCCTTGTTAAAGTGGCATTTAAATTTTACTGCACTTTTCACAGAACACTTCCATAGAATACAAAACTTTCTTCCAGCTTTGCAAGAGTGGTGCATGTTTCATGATAACTTTTGAGTTAAAGAGGACATAGGGAGAGGACATTCTTTATTTTAAAACTTAAGGTAGGTTTATTAAAAAGCTAATAAGAACCTAAATCTGCTGTTCATCAGAGTGGTAATAAAAAACCACAATAGTAGGGGGAAAAAAAATCCCAAAATTCATGATGCCACTTTGAAAACTGGAAAAGTTTGTTCCTTTTTCCTGTTTCCAAGATGGAGATGAGTGTATTGGACCTGTGGTATCAAAGCCTTTGGTGTGATCACAAAAGGAAGCTTTGCACCTGCACAAAAAGAGAAAGCCAAACAAACTTGACATAATGAAGCTCCATGTATAATGCAAATAGATAACTTCCATTTCACTGTCTTAGGGTGTCTTTTTCCTTTAATGATGGGATTCACTGACAGTTTTTGCTTCTGCTTTTGAGCTTGCAGACTTTAGTGATGAAATATTTAAGATGAAAATGTAGTTTCTGTTATGCCTTACTTCCAGCTAGTTTAGAGCATGGAGAAATTGGATACTGACTGGCATGGAAACTGTTTTTCAACTTTGAATTCTTCTAGGAAAATGAGGTGGAGTGGGTTGGATGAGTGCTGTGTGTGAAGTGGGTTCAGTTTGTGCTCGAAGGAGCTGGGCTAAGAGCACTGCCTGTTCTAGCTGCTGTTCCTGTGTCATTTGAGACATGGAACTGGAGCGAGCCTGGCTGGGCACGGCAGCGCTGCTGAAGTCACAGTTCGTGGAAAGCTTGGACACGCAGCTGTGCTCTGCTTCTGTGCAGTTGAAGTGTCTGTGGCATGTTCCTGCAGCCTGGGCAGGGAAACAGCCTCTAAGGACACAAAGCAAACAAGTCAGAGCTTCTGGCTTCCCTCCTGAGTCACCCCTTCAGTGCAAGGTTAGATCAGCTCTGTAGACTGCAAGCGAGGTGCTCTGCCGGTTGGAGTGGCTAATTAAGATGAGGGTATGAATCATAAATGAGAAGTTGGCCTTCTGCTGAGGACATCTCTGGAACACCCACACTGCCATCCTCTTTTTTGTTTATCCAGAGGTATTAACTGTGTTGCTGGGACGTGAGGTAACTCAGGAAACATTCCTGCCACACAGGGCACGAGAGAGTCTCAGGTGAGGTTGAAATACCGGTATCACTGACATGGGGGAGTTCTGGAGGAGCTTCTTCTTGCACACCTGACTCATGAGCAGCTGGGTTGTTTCTTCAGTGTAATTAAATTCCATGCCTTGTCCTGTAAAAATTTGAGGATTGCTTTATAAATCTAATGAAAATTTTAATTTTAAGGTGTCGCTTTTTCATTTAACCCTGCCAATTAGTGATTTCAGGGTTTGTCAGATTTTCTGAGTTCTGCCAGTTGCTTTGATGAGAGCTCTAATGTTTCATGGGATTTCTTTTAAATGTAAAAAAACCTAGGAATGCAGGGTAAAGTAGTGTCTTGGTGTTCAATTCAGGTAACTAATGTCAGGAGATATTAGATATTATTGAAGGAGGAGGAACTAGAGATTTATTGCTGTGTGTTATGGTCCATTAATGCTTTTTCTGGGAAGAATCCTGTAGCCCACAAGTGCAGTGCAATATGGAGATAGCCTGTGTTGCTGTTGAAGGTAAATGGGTGACACACACATGTTATCCCTGCTTGCTGTCCCACTAGATTTGAGGCAGTAGCACATTCCTGACTGGATTTAGTTTACAAACAACCTGGCATGAAAAAAACCAAAATATTTCTTACGCTGTAAGAATGATAACTTTGTGTTATTCAGGGAATATCCAGTACTCTTAAATTGTCCCTATCAAACAACCCACAGTATTGCTTCCTCTTGAATTAGAAGAATGTAACAAACAATAGCTTTTGTGGGCTTACTGCAGTCTGGAGCAGCAGTGGGGAGACAGGCAGTCATTTGTGCTTGGAAATCTCTGAGGCTGTTGAAGCATAACTGCAGGGAAGATACTTTTCTGATTTGTGGCAGGATGGGAACACCAATTAAGAATTCACTGTAGTTACTCTTGTCTGGATATTCAAGCTGCTGAAGAATTTTTGGTTTTTTTTCCAGGAGAAAATTGTTTATCCTGTCTCTGATTCTGTTGCTCTGTGCAGTCCTTAGAGGGTCACCTCCTCACTTCCCTGTAAGGAGATTTTCATACCTGGCTATCTCAGCTGAAGTTGGCAATAACCAGCTGGTCTGAACTTCCTGCTCACAGCTGTGACCTTCCCCACCCTGTGTCAACTCAGTGCTGACAAGGAGGGACACTGAAGGAGGAAATTCTGAATCTTTCAGCTTGGATAAGAACAAAGCCTTACACTGGAAGAAAGAAAAGCAGAGTTGAACTGCACTTGCTTATTAGATAGCCAAATGTTGGTTATTTTGTTGTACACCTGTTGGTTTTCCCTCATCAGGCTTCCCTGTATTACTGGCTTCCTTCAGCCAGTCTTAATTGCCTGCAGGGTGTGAGCTGAGAGCAGCATCCTCAGGGGCAGAATTTCAAGTTCTTTCTGCCTCTGTGTGCAGGGCCATGGTAACTCCCACCCTGGAAATCCTGCTGTCCAGCCACATGGGCTCTGTGGAGCTGTGCTGAGGCAGGAGCAGCCTAAACATTCCAGTAGGTTCAGTGTGGCCATGGAGAGCTCTGCAGCAGCCTGGGAGGTGAGGCTTGTGTTGGACAATGTGCACAATGAGCTGAGGGCACAGGGAGGAGACAGAAAGCAGCAGAAGCCTTGGGATAGACATCCTGGTTTTCATCTGCTGGTTTTAATATCAGAGCTCTGCTTTGAAGTGTGTCATCCCATTTGCTGTCTGCAGTCACGTAGGGAGAATGTGTTGTTGCTGCTGTGGTTCTGTGCCATCTGTATTTCCATCAGTGTAAACACCCCAGAGAGATGCACAGCATTTCTGGGATCCTGAAATCGGGTACAGGGGCCTGGTGTAACCTGTGAGTAGCTTGCAATAGGAAAACACAGCAATTTGTCACTGGCAGAAAAGTCCTTGTGTAAATTAAATTCTTCATTCATCCCAACTCTATTCAGCCTTGACCATTAGCTGATTTTATGGTTTAAGAGGGAAGATAAGAGATGAAGGAGGAGAAAAGAGGAGCAAACCTGACAATTAGTAGTACTGACTTATCCCAAACATTTCCTAAAGAATCACCCACTGAACTGTACATCAGCCTGTTGGTGAAGAAGAGATTTTAAATTCCCCCCTCTTTTGACTTGTTTTGACTCTCCCTTTTTCCCTGACCAAGAATGGTGCACGTTCATTTTCTGAAATGGAATAGGCAAATATGTGTGAATCACGTAGGCATAAGGTAGCCAAGGTGCAAGCATTTTCAGTTAAAAGGAAAGTAGTAAATAAGTAGTAAACAAATGTTATGTTTTGTATGTGTAGTGCATCTTCCTGTTCTAGGAGTTGTTGAAGAATTGGTCTAATGCTTATGAAGGTGTTAATATTACCATCTTTCTGAAGACATTCCACGTGGTTCCAGGTTTGATGTGTATTCCCAAAGAACTGATGCATTTCAAGGTTTTATTTTGAATGCAAGTCTCTCATTCTGCTTGAGACTTTTATTCAGATATTACCAGAACCAGTGAGAGCTGCTTTTAAAAGTATCTTCTCCAGCGTGTCTTTAAATAATGGTGCTTGAAGTAATAATTCTGCTGCAGAAAGCTTGTAAAAAAAGTTGTGTTCTCACTAGAAATAAGTGCCTGGCATGTGAAGGGCACAGGGATTTCCTAAGCGAGCCGGGTCAGAGCTGAACACACCTGCAGAAAGTATTGCTCAACTGTCCTGTGAACGGGGTCATTTATCGGTGTTTAACAGCACGTCACAGCACACCACACTCGCATGTCACATGCCAGTCTGCAGTCTTCAGATTGCTCCAGGGATTTAGAAATGCAGAGAAAGCTGATAGGCTCCCATCTGACTCAGGAGTGACTCTGGGAATTGCTGCTGCTTCCTGACTCCTGAAAAAAGGGTGTAACAGCTTTGGTAAAGTGGCAGAAATTCACAGACCCAAACAGCACCGGTAGCCCTGAGTGGCAATAAGTTAATATCACTGACTTAAATTCAGGTTCTGCTGCTTTAGAATTGAAGACAAAGAGGGTCAGAACAACACTTTCATAATTTTCAAGTCTGCAATAATGGATGTCTTATCCTGTGGAATTTTTCTGGTGCTGCACACCGAGGTGATTGGTGCACTTTAATTTTCACCGTAGCAGCTGAAATAAAGTGCCCATGGAGATCCTGCAGTGCTGCTCTTCTGGAGAAGCACTAATGTAAACTGTGGGCAGTCTTGACTTGACAGCTGTGCTGACAAACCAAAAAAAGATGCTTTTTGCACTAGACAGATGTCTAAGTGTTGGAAATTTTCCAGTGAGAAGCAGAAAAGCTTTATTCTTCCAGTATTTCCATGTCACTTGAAGTATGGTTTAAATGAAAGGAATGTTTTCTGATGGGGAATGTTATTGCAGAGCTTTTTAGCATGCAGAGGATTAGCTTCTTAATCACCTCTGAGTAACTAGATTCTACCAGTTGTACAGGAAAATTCTTGGTGCTGTGAGTAGTGAGGCAGAGTGATCAAGGAAAGTGGTTATTTTATCTTCATTTGATGCATTTGCATGGCACAGCCAGTGCCAGAGTGTCTCCTGCATTTGCATTGTTCTTTACAATATTTATCAGATACAGACACAGCATTAATCGATTATTTTCCTTGAAAGAGAGATGTTGTCAAGTATTTCATCCAAATGAAAAACAATATGAGAAGGTTATATTTTAAAATATGCAGCCTGGAAGACAGCTCTTCAAAGCAGTAGTGTAGCTGGTATATGCTGGAGTTTTGTCTTGGAAATTTGCTCATCAGCATCAGTAGTTCAGTAAAAGCTGAAACTTGAAAGCAAATTCCTCCCTTGATGTAAAACTATAAAGCTGATTTTGTTTTTTGAGGGAATGAGAACCTGTCCCCTTTTTTTTTGTACACAGGGTTCAACAGCATCTTCTTTATTTGAGTTGTTCATACCCACTTCATTCTGTTAAAATTCACTAGTATGGTGAAGAGGATGTTTCTGTAGCAGGCAGGAAAAGGCAGGGAACACCTAATCCTGTGCTCAGAGAGCACAATCAAGGATGGCTTATGCCTTGTACTACACTTCTGTAAGGCTGCTTGGAGAGGCAGTTGTGATATCAGGAATATTTTATGCAGAAAGCAGATAATCACGGTCACTTACTACGTGAATTCAAAGATGGGCTCTAAGGCTTATGGCAGATGATATTCTGGGTTCATCTTGCTGCTTTGATGAGTATTTGGGCATCAGTTTTGTTTGCACTTCTTGAGGAGGTTCATGCTTTGTTTTTGATCCTTGTGGTGATGAACCTGATCCTAACTAAAACTTCATTAACAGTTTAACCTGTACTTCACTCTTATACTGGACTCACATGCATAAATTCCATGCTGTATTTCACTGCTCTCATGAAGGCTTTGTTCTCTCCTTTTTTAGGTACTCTTCTACTCATCAAGATGGAAAGCTCAGATTCTGGTGATAAAGGAAGTATTGATCAGTCAGAAGCCCAACGTCAGAGCCAGCTGGATCGGTTAGACCGAGAGGAAGCTTTCTATCAGTTTGTGAACAACCTGAGTGAAGAGGACTACAGGCTTATGAGAGATAACAATTTGCTAGGAACACCAGGTAGGTAATGCTTGGCTATGTCCATCCTGCTAGACTTGCTTGTAGGAAATTTGTGTCATTTTCTGTTCCCTGAAGCCCTTTCACCCGTCTGTGTGTGCAGCTGTGTTCCGTGGTAGGAAGTAGCTTCTGGCTAATTTGTGCACATTCAAATTCAAGTGGTCCCTTGACTTGTGGAGACATAGGATGGTGTGGATTCATCAGATACAAAAGTCTGGTGTTTGCACAACTTGGCAGGAACACCCAGATTTGACCCAGTTCCAGTTATGAACCATTAGATGGACAAAAAGTCTCCTTTAAGCCTCTGTGTGCAGACTTTGTGCAGGTGAGGTTTGGAGTTTGTAACCAGGGTAAGTAGTCTGCTATGAGATTCTGCATGGACATTTTGATGTCAGCTCCCAATCAACATGCTAAACTTCCTCTTCATAGGTTGATACCTAATTCAAATAATGACTCAAGTTATTTAAACCTTCTGTTCCTGCTCGTGGAAGTGTTAACCTCAAATATTTCATGCTGGACACCCTAACGGGTGTAGGATGACAAAAATTGCTGCTCAGCTGTCAAGGTCACAGAACCAGAGAGCACATCTCTCTTGAATAGGATGGAACTGTTGGGTATTTCAGCTTCAGGAAAACTTACTTGGGACAGCAGTGCTAAAGTGTCTGAACTTCCCCTTAGCACTGTGCTTGGCAGTGCCATTATGGCAGGAATTAATTAGACAGAACACAAGCAGTGGCTTGTACCTTCTTTAGAAGCTTTTGATAATGCTTGCCATACATATATGATTTGGAAATATTTTTGGAAAATTTTGCTTATTTTCTAAGGTGAAATTACTGAAGAAGAGTTGCTGAGAAGGCTACACCAAGTTAAAGAAGGTCCGCCACAGCAAAACAGTGATGAGAATAGAGGTATATACAGTATTTGTGAAAACTCTTAACTTTAGCACCCCATACGGACCTTAACTTGAGTGCAGGAGTGGAACAAGTTAAGCCTAGGCAGGTGCAAGGTGAGCTTTGGTTCAAAACTCAGTGAACCTTATGTCTGATATCTGCTGCAGAGGTCAGTTTGGGACAGATTTCATTCATAACACATCTCTTACTTCTATCAAAATAAAGTTTTGCTTAGGTTTATTTCTTTTTTTTTTTAAATTTCATTTTTTTTAAGATTGCCTTTCTGTCTGCTCCCTTCTGGGATGCTTTTTGGCAATTCCTCTTTTTTAATTCTTCCCTTCCAAAGATGCTGCATTGCTTTTGTTTTCACCCTTCTGTAGTGGTTGGTGGGAGATGCTCAGACCTGAGCACTGGGGTTCATTCTTCGGTGAGACAGATTTGCTATAAAGCTCTGCAGGTGAAGGTTCAGGACAACCTTAATTCTCTGTTTCACAGTCAATTGATCACTTAATTGTTTGGAAAGGAAAACACAGAATATTGATGTGTTATGTCACCTGACATGTGACTTTCCATTTACTTATGATAGAAAATACATGTTCTTTTGATGACTTGTTTGCTCTGTGATGGCTGCAGCCTATCTGTGCATATTAGAGCAATGTCCACTCCTGCTCCCTTATAAGAGCTCTGGTAGTTACAGAATTGTCACACTGCCTGTGAAACCACAGTAGCACTCGGTAGGATTCAGCACTTCTAAATTGTCACTTGTTAAGCTAAGCAATTATGTTCTTGGAAAAGATGGCTCCAAAATTAGCTCAGTACTCTAATTTTGGTAGTTCCCTGTCTTTTTCACAGGTGCAGAGTCCGCAGAAGATGTTTCAAATGGAGATTCTATAATAGACTGGCTTAATTCAGTCCGACAGACTGGAAATACGACACGGAGCGGGCAGCGAGGAAACCAGTCCTGGAGAGCAGTGAGCCGGACTAACCCAAATAGCGGCGACTTCAGATTCAGTTTGGAAATAAATGTCAACCGTAATAATGGGAGCATGAATCCAGAAACTGAGAATGAGCCATCTGTAGAGCCTTCCAATGGGGAGGATTTGGAAAACAGCCAAAGTGACTCTGAAATTCCAAGGTCTGAATCACCATCTGTAAGGCAGCCTGGATCAGAAAGGAGCAGTGCGGAGGAGCTGACAGCTGAGGAGGCTTCCCCTCCTAGAGGGCAGAGGAGAGCCAGGAGTAGGAGTCCAGAGCAGCGGCGGACGCGGGCTAGGACTGATAGAAGTAGGTCACCTATTAATGCAGCGAGCGAGGCCCCTCGCAGGTCTCATCACAACACATCATCTCAAACACTTGACCACTCCTCAGCGGGCGAGGCCGAGGGCAGCTCTAGAACCAGGCAGCACGTGACGTTAAGGCAGCACACAGTGGGGACTGAGGTGCCAAGTGAAAATGCAGTTCTGTTTGCCCCCCCTGAGACGAGGCCCGCTCCTCAAGCAGCGGGTTCTTCAGAAAGCACCGGCGCCAGCGAGTCCACGGCTCCTGGGCAGAGGCCTCCCACCATAGTGCTGGACCTGCAGGTGAGAAGAGTTCGCCCGGGCGAGTACCGGCAGAGGGACAGCATCGCCAACAGGACCCGCTCGCGCTCCCAGACCCCCAACAACACGGTCACCTACGAGAGCGAGCGCGGCGGCTTCCGGCGCACCTTCTCCCGCTCGGAGCGCGCCGGCGTGAGAACTTACGTCAGCACCATCAGGATCCCCATCCGCAGGATCCTGAACACGGGCCTGAGCGAGACCACGTCGGTCGCCATCCAGACCATGCTGAGGCAGATCATGACGGGCTTCGGGGAGCTCAGCTACTTCATGTACAGCGATAACGATGCAGATTCCGGCGGGTCGGCTCCCTTTCACAACGTGGAGACTGCCGAGCCGCAGAGCGGAGGCGGGGGCGCCTCGGGCAATGAGAATGCAGATGTCAGCTCGGGGGAGGTGTACGAGGGTGGGCACGAGGCCAGCTCCACATCTGGCGCCAGGCGGGAAGGCCGCAATATGAGGGGATCGGTCACTTTTGAAGAAAGCGGTTCTCTACCATTCCTTAGCCTTGCACAGTTTTTCTTACTCAACGAAGATGACGATGACCAACCCAGAGGACTCACCAAAGAACAAATTGACAACCTAGCCATGAGGAATTTTGGTGAGAGCGACGCTCTGAAAACCTGCAGCGTGTGCATCACCGAGTACACGGAGGGCAACAAGCTCCGCAAGCTGCCGTGCTCGCACGAGTACCACGTGCACTGCATCGACCGCTGGCTGTCCGAGAACTCCACCTGCCCCATCTGCCGCAGGGCAGTGCTGGCCTCTGGGAACAGGGAGAGCGTGGTCTGAGGCAGAGCTGAGTGATGGCCAGGCAGCCGGTGTGATAGTGATGGGCAAAGAAGTCACTTCCTTTATGACCACTTTTTGAGTGGTACCTCAGTGTATAGTAATGACTCGGAGTGAATCTTCCCTCATTGAAAGCATTTTCTCTGGATTCAAGATTTGGGAATTGGAAAATTTCTTTAATTAGATTTTTCGAGTTCTAGTCGGTTTGGGTGTTCAATTTCACTTGTCCAAAGACATCTCCCCACTTCAAAGTATTTTTTTCTTTGTGAAGATATTAAGTTCTTTCTCCTTCCCAGCCCAATAAACAGTTTTTCCTCAAGATTGTGCTTCTGAGGAGTTATTTGAGAAGTTATCCCAGCTCAGTGTCCATGAGTCATAGAGGAGTTTTTGCAAGAAATCCAACTCTCTGAAAAAATAATATTAATTTAATTGCACATTTGAACATACTTTTAATTTTCCTCCTGGGTTAATATTGGACATGTCTGTGTAAATAACACTAATGTTAGCCCTTTCCCCATCACTATGGCACGCTGTAGGATGAGCTGTTAGCGTAATTGGGATATTTATCTTGTTGTGGAAATATAAGAATTGCCTATGCTTGTTTAAATAAAGGAAAAAAAAATCTGTTTTAAAATTGTAAAGCTTTTTTGTAGAAGCTCAGTACTTTTCCAATGCACTGTTGTACTAACGCATTAAGAATTAAAATTGTACCATGCTTAGAAATCAAGAACGCTTTTCATACAACCCCCACTACACAGAGAGCAAACTGAACACAAGAGAGCTGCTTTTGTGACTGTGTACCTGTCAAGAGCAGTGCATATCTGTACTATTTATGTGAACAGCTACTGTAACATAAAAACAGTTGGATTAGACATTTAATTGCATTTTAAAAACCGGAAATTAAATGTTATAGTTGCAGTGTTTTGGCTCAGTAATGCCACCAAAAAAAAAAACGATGATAAAAATTAGAAACTGTTCTAATGGCTGGTTATTTCTTGGTATGGTTGCAAATATGGAATAATACAAACCTGTGTGTACTGCCTTGTTCACTGAGGTTTGTGCCCAATTTTTCTATCAGCTTTTCCTCTCAATTTTTGAGGCAGTGTTGTAACTTCATCAAACAAGTATGGACAGGTTGGTTTTTAGTTCTTCACAAGGTTCAGCTGTACTGGTAACCTCTGGATGTGTTGAGTGGTCTGGTGTTGGTAGCCTGTGGTGCAGGTGCCTCAGGGAATAACTGGAAAGCACATCATTAGTATTGGGTTACATTTGAAAATGAGTGCACTTAAATGTGTAGGAGATTCTTGACACTAACAGTAAAAACCCAACAAGCTCTTTATATTCCTATTGGACAGAATGAAAATTAATTTACTTTTAAAATTATGTACATGACGTGTTGCAGTTGAGAATTGGAGAATGTGCCTCAACTCTCATCGGAGTGTGTGTGGGGAAGCATCCTTCACCCTCACTGACCCCTTCTTTGTTTTATTCTCCAAGGTTTTGGGTTTTTCCTGGCTTGCATGTGCAGTGGGAGAGTGATTTTTATTTATTTCCACTCCAGGGCAGTAGTGCTGAAGGGATATGAGCTGCTCTTGCTGGCTGGATGGGAAATGTTGCTTGTTCCTCAGATGACAAAACCAAAGCTGGCCTATCTCTTTTTTCCTAACTAAAACACATTTTTGGTGTTTTAAAGGAAAACACCAAAAACCTTATGGTGGGTGCATAAACTATAATCGCTGCTCTAAGCCATTTTAACATCTCATCAGCTAGTTCAGGATTCCATAGCATCCCAAAATTCTGTGGGTTTTTTTTTTCTCCATGTACATTTTGTGCTGTTTCAGTGGGAAGCCCTGAGTGGCTGTTGAGCTCTTTCCTCCTGGTGGGACACACCATCATGGCAGAGGGGCACCAGGGTTCCTCGGGAACAGAACAATCAGTCAGCTCACAGGTTTGGCTTTTTCCTTGGATGCACATCACTGTAAAGTTGGAGTTGGCTGTTGATTCTGGGTGCTGGTTTCTCTGTGCCAAATTTTCACAGCAAAATAACACTTCTGAATTTCACAGAGCAAATACTCGCTCTCTGTTGCAGTTTCCAGACTTATAGAGCATAGAATTAGAAGGGGAAAAAAACCCCCTCTCTACATGAGTACTGTGTTAGATGTTGGAAGTCAGAGATGTTCATCTCAGAGCAGAGCTGGTAACCACCAGGAAGGGAGCACATTTTCCCAAGCCCACACAAAGCATGGCTGTGGTACCTGTCACCCCACCTTCTCCATGAATTTCCACCCTGGTAAAACTGCCCCAAAACAACAGTTTTGTTACAGCTTATGGCATGTCTTAACATTTTATCTTTCTGTAACAAGAGCAACTAATAAAATATTGGAGGTTTCCCAAACGGTACCAAGAACAAATAATTTAATCTCAGTTTAAGAGATGTTGATGGTTCTCTGTGGTTTCTCTGCCTTTCACTGCACTAAGTGTGCTAAAGGGGCTGGGGGCTCATTGTCTGCAGCAAAAACTTCTTTCTGTAACTCAGTTAATTAGGGTAATTAAATTTCTATTTATCTAAATTTAGATTGGAGTTAGGAAAAGCCAATATTAACATTTCAGTTGCTTACAAAATGTGAAACACTTTCATAATTAGACTAATTTACATTTCATGAATTATTTTGATAGCGAGCATGTGTATTTAGCTCTTCCCTTAGTATTTTTTTATATTACTGGAGGGACTCAGCATTTTCACTCGTGCCTGGAGGGGTGTGAAGGGTTACAAGGGCGAGTTTTGGCACGTATTAGGGCTGATCTGTAGGAACGGTGGATTGGGGGAGGCAGAGCCGTGTGCGCTGTGGGCTGGGTCACAGTGCCACCGTGTGGGACCTGCCTTCAGCACCAGCGGCATTCCTTGCAGGATCTGCAGCTTTATCTTGGTTCCGAAGGATTCTCCTTGCCATTTCGACATGGGGTGTTTTCCCAAATGGCCACACTCCTGCTGGGAATCCCTGGTGCGTGAGCTTCGTTCCTTTCTGACAGGACAGACCCCTACCCACAGCAATGGCAGCGGTCACCCGGCCAAAGCCTTGTGGCAAACACAGTTTTAATAATTATATTCGTTACGAGTTGCTGTTAGTTCATATTTTAATTCACGTTGTGAACAAACACACACTTGTGGGTGCTCACCTTAATTTTTTTGGGACGGGGGGAGCTTTATCTGTGAAAAGTCTGAATTCCTGGTGCTGATTGGATTTCCCTTTCACGTGCATATTTTTCCTTCGGACAAGTTGGGTTTTTTGCAGAGAACTTGGGAGCAGTTGAGTTGTTTTAAAAACAGTTTGATTGTGTAGGTACTTCGTGCATAGAAATCAGGGAATTTGAAGGGCCTTTTGTAGGAAGCAGCTGCAGGACATGACACCCACCCTAATTGTCCATTGTGTCGAAGGGTTTCCCACCAGAGCTGGCACAATGGCCCATAATGAGTGTCATCCCAGTTTCCTGTCACTTGTCTGGGTTATGCAAATGTGGGACTCCAAGGGCCCCTTTCCCGATGGATCCACGGTGGATAAAGAGTTGTCCCCACAAGCCGGTGGTCTCACCACCATGAGGGGATGGATGATGCAGGGTGAGGAGAGGTGCACGTAGGGCTGAGGGGGTTCTGAACCTCCACACCACCGCAGGAGCCTCCATCCCTCATTGTCACCCCTCATTTGGGGTCGCTGTGTCCAGGGAGGCTCTGTCCTGCTCTGGGAAGGGCTCTGGGGAGCCCAGGAGCAGCCTGGCTATGGAAATGTCTGCCTGCTCCTCTGCCTTCTCCCAGGAGGAGGAGCTTTGCATGAAGCTTGGCTTGGAGCCACACGGAGGGAATTTATAACAACTTCAGAAATATTTCCAGCCCTTACGTACAGTAGGCTTTTTGTTTATCCTCGATTAGGGGGGCAAGCAGGAGGCTGAAGAGACACAATTAATGGTAACGTACCCAAAGTACAAATAAGTGGTGGTGTGTTCAAAAAAAGAGGTTTGCATCTGTTATACCAGGGCTTCCCAACCTCTCAGATCGACTGTATCTCTTTTGTCATATGAGGAAACATAACATGGGATTTATTTGATTTATATCTGGTTTTATTCCCTTTAGCTAGAATATTTGAGCCCCTTTCTGAATTTCATTCTGCTGGGAAGGCTGTTGGTTGGGAAGCCCTGAATTTCACTGTGAATGTAACACTTTTCTTTATTATTTTTTACTTTTTTTTTCTTTTAACAGTGCTTTACATTTGTTTATACTAGACTTGTTTAATACAAACTGGTACTCAGAGGTTGTTGGACACAGTTTGACCAGGTTTGCCAGCTAACACTTAGGAGGAGTTTGTTCCCTATGTAAGGTGTTATAATGCAAATTTAAATAGACTCAATAAAATGCATGAAGTGTTCATTTTGTGCTGGATCATCACTCCTTGGGTTTATTCTTACGGTGGGAATGCACTGGAGCACACAGTGGTAGATGTGGCAGGAATTTGTTTCCTCCATACATCTTTCCCCTTGAGGTAGGAAGGAGCTGGAATGGTACAGAATTAACTCCTCAGAAGAATTTATTGCATTAGGACATAAAACCAAAGAAATAAATACCTCTGTGTCCCAGACTTTGTCAATCTGGCAGTGGATAATGTAGGATATAAATGCAGCATCTCCAGGTTGTCTCCCAAGGAGAAGCTGGACCCCATGCAGGGCTGGCAGGGCTGAGTCTCTGCAAATGCAGCCAGGATTCAGGGAGAGTCTCACATCTGGCTTAATGCTCTGTCCTAAAATTAGCAGCTGAGGTATGTGCACTTAGTGGAGTGGGAAGGAAGTTTTTTAGGGTGTGGGAAGCTGTATTTATTATCTGTGCTTCCCCCACCTCAATCCCATTCCTTGGGTAGGAAGTGGGAGCTGCTCTCCGAGAGCAGTGTGATGGAATTGGTGCAGAAGGGGACAGGGAGGTGCTGTGTCCCTGAAAAAGGGATTGGCACCCACAGTTTTGGGTGCCAGGGCAGGGGCTCAGTGCCACAGTTGGGCTGATGCTCCTCAGCACTGCCAGCAATGCTCTTCTCCAGCAAGGAGAAGGTGTGGGCTGCTCCAGGGATGCAGGGAGTTGGGATTCTGCTCCAGCTTCACTCTCCCGAGGGAGAGCTCCTGGATAAAGGGGATTTTTCTCATTCATGCTTCTTGCTCTTAGAGAGTTCAGTTCAGTCTGAAACTGGATGTTTAACACAGGTGTAGCTTTGATTTCAGTGACTATTCATGAGTGACTCCCACATTGTGTGTGTCAGGAGCTCTTCGCCTGGTAGCTGTCTCCAACCCCTCATCTCCCTGTAGGATCTTCTTCAGTTTGGGTAACCCTGGATTTGTAGGATCTCCTTCAGTTTGGGTAACCCTGGATTTGTTCCTCAAAAACTCTCAATCAACCCCAGAACTGCTTAAAGAGCCCAAGCCAGCCTTGGCGCTTGTGTGTGGCTGACTTCATCCCTCTGTTTATTTTCTTTAATATATTTGAGGTCTTTGTCCTGACCTGTAAAACTTTATATAACCTTGTTCCTCCCTCTTGGTGCTTAAACTCTGTAACCTTTTACGTTGTCTTACTCCTCCCTTCAGGATATATTTCCATGGCACATCCAGACCTCTCAGGGGAATATGTTTGGCTGCTTTGCTGGTCCTGCTGCTGGCTGGGAGGAGAAAGGTTGTGTTTGGTGACCTTGTGCATCCCAGAGCAGGAATAGCCATCCTTTTGGGACTTCTCCTTTTTCTGTGGGATGGAATGTTTGGAAAGAGAAGGGGGGAGAGTAGCACAGGCTAGCTGCTCCTCCTTGCCCTTCCCAGCTATTTCAGATGTGATTGAACCTGTTCTGGGACTTTTACCACAATAAATCTAAACTCAGCCGTGTTGTGGCTCCCTAAACTCTTACAACAAATCTATATAGGGAAAATTAACCCTAGTTTTCAGTCTTAGACTGGCTGGGCATTGTCTGTGACACTAATGAGATGCTGCTGCCACATGCTCCAGCTGTGCCCCTGAGTAAATCCCCTGCTCAGCCGAGCATGTGAAAACCCAGGCGTCAGGTTCCCTCAACAGTGATTACTTCATCCCACATTTGTGGAGAGTTCCTTGAGCTCTGGCTCCCTGCACCAGCAGGTTCTGGGATTCCAGAGAAAAGGGCTGCAAGGAGGTGCCCTGGTGCTGGTGCTGGGGATGCTGGGCTGCAGCACATTCCCTGTGACCCTGCACAGCAAGGGGGGAGCCAGCCAGGCTCCTGGTGTCCAGCAGGGAGGGCTTCACACTGCTTTCATTTCTCAGCATGCATTTAATTTCTCAGGATGCATGTGCAGAATGGGATCTCTCCAGGCTGAAAGTTTGAGGCCAGTGGGTTTCAGCTTTTCTTCTTGTTTGTTGTAGAAAATGCCGTGAAGGGCAAAGTGCCTGGTTTGGTTTCTTGGCTTTAATATTTCTTTGCTCTTTCCTTTCACAGCATTGAAACAGCTCTGGCGCCTCTCCAGACCCAAACCCCAGGGTTTGCCCTGTGTCTGCAGAGCCAGACCTTGGCTGGCCAGTGGGTTTGGAGGTACCAGAGGGTTTATAGGGGTAAAATCTTGAAATAATTTCATTTCAGGAGCCCATAAGGTATCTCTGCAGAGCAGGGATTTGTGGAATGGAGATGGGACCAGTGT